CCAAACAAACAAAAACTGAAGGAATTTGTCACCACTAAACCAGCCCTGCAAGAGATCCTAAGGGGGACCCTGTGAGACAAAGTACCAGAGACATCACTACAAGCATAGAATATTATTTTTAAAAAGTTTTTTTTACATCTATTTACATGGTGTATTCAAACACAACTGAACATAACAGAAAATCAGGTAACTGTGACTTTAAGCATAAGGACATTAATTGTTGACTTAATCAGATGTCATTCAGCAGCTCACTGTTTTTCATTAAGTACATAGCCTGCTTCAATTGTTCTTTATTAATTTTTTGTGCTTGTACCCGAGGCTCACGAGATAGCTATTGTAGCTCCCAGCATCCTTTTAAAGGAAGAGATTTGAGAACAAAGGTGATTTTTCCTCTTATGGTTCTGTTTTATTATATAAGAATAGAATACCTCAGACTTGCTACTCTAAGATTTTCCTTTATATTTCATTGGCCTTATTAAGTTGCATGTCTACCCCTAGACCAGTAACTGGTAAAGGGAAAGAGAATTACTATGAATAATTTTGACTAATCATAAGTTATTCCTTCATGTTAGGGGTTAGAACAAGTTCTCTGGGGGCACCTGGGTGGCTCAGTTGGTTAAGCGCCTGACTCTTGGTTTCAGCTCAGGTCATGATCTTACCGTGTGCGTGAATTTGGGCTCTGCACTGTGCAGAGCCTGCTTGGGATTCTCTCTCTCTCTCTCTCTCTCTCTCTCTCTCTCTCTCTCTTCTCTCTCTTTCAAAATATATTAATTAATTTTAAAAAAGAACAAGTTCTATGGTATCAAGTGATTTCCACCTGCTACAGAATTGAGGTTTAATTGTCAGGCAAAAAGGTGAGTAAATTTCTGCCGAGTAGGCAGTAAAGAGAGTCTACTCTCTCTTGAAGAGAGGCTTGTTATTTCCAGCCTCTTCCAGATTTTCATTTTAAAAATGCAATATGGGTGCCTGGGTGGCTCAGTCGGTTAAGCGTCCGACTTTGGCCCAGGTCATGATCCCGCACTTCGAGGATTCAGGCCCAGCGTCAGGCTCTATGCTGACAACTTGGAGCCTGGAGCCTGCTTCAGATTCTGTGTCTCCCTCTCTCTCTGCCCCTCCCCTGCTTGCACTCTGTCTCTCTGTCTCCCAAAAATAAATAAATATTTTAAAAAAATGTTTAATGCAATATGGAGTGGGGCACCTGGGTGGCTTAGTTGGTTAAGTGTCCAACTTTGGCTCAGGTCATCATCTCACGGTTCGTGAGTTTGAGTCCTGCATCCGTCTCTGCATTGACAGCAGACAGCCTGCTTTGGATCTTCTGTCTCCCTCTCTCTCTGCTGCTCCCTCTCTCTGCTGCTGCTGCTGCTGCTGCTGCTGCTGCTGCTCTCGCTCTCTCTCTCAAAAATAAATAAACATTTTTTTTTTAATCTTTAAATGCAATATGGAGATATTAGACCAAGAGAGTAGAGTAAGAACAGGCACTTACATTCCCTATCTACTAAAATACCTAGAAATGACTACAAAGTGTGTGTGTGTGTGTGTGTGTGTGTGTGTGTGTGTGTGATATAAACATGAGAAAACTGTCAATCATGGCAATTATGAAGGGGGTCTTGAGTAGTCAGAACTTTTGAACTTTTCTGAAAAATGTAAGATAGGGAGAATCAGATTGATTGATAAAACTATAGGATTAAAAAAAACAAGAGAAAATCACTGTGAAATTGGGGGGCAACTTTGAGGCACCCCAAGTTTAAAGGATGTGGATATGGGTAGCAGGGGAATCACTGACCATTTGTGTACCTTCATCCCCATTTGAGCTAACCATCAGGCATCAGAGGTGTTCACCCCTGTATTGGGACAAGCGGGTTTGGACTAGAGAGGCAGGATAATGCCTCTACATAGAGACAAAATGAATTGCTGACAGACTTCACTATTTAAAAATAAACAATAATAGTTTATTTTAAAAAAAGAAACTAGGGGTGTCTGGGTGGCTCAGTCCATTAAGCATCTGACTTAGGCTCAGGTCATGATCTTTAAAAAAGAAACTAAATGAATCCAAAAAAAAGAGAAATCACTTGGGAATGAAAGAGAATTACTGTTGCCAACAAAACCATCAATACATTGACTTGAAGATCAGAAAATACTGAACAACTAACGAGCAAACTGGAATGCTAAGCCAAAGCAGATAAAAAAAGGCAAAGAGAAAGGAGGATAGATCCAGAACTTTTAATATTCATCTTATACAAGTGTTCAATGGAGTGAGTCAACAGTATAGAGACAAGGAAATATTCAAAGAGATAATGCAAGAAAATCTTGTAACCCTGAAGAAAGAAACAAATCTTGCACTTTAAAAGGCTTACCAAATGGAATTTCTGTTTGGAATGATGAAAAATTGCTGGAACTAGATAGTGGTGATGATTGTACAACATGTGAATTTACTTAATGACACTGAACTGTACACCCCAACATAGTTTAAATGGTAAATTTTATATTATGTGTATTTTATCACAATTTTTTTTAAAGCACCAAATAATCAATGCAAGATACATGATTAAAATACAAAAGTCTTTTGAGGAAGATGCAGTCGGCACTATAGTAAAGCTCTGGACATCTGGCTCCTGCTCCTGACTCACTGCTGTTGACTGTCTCAGAGGAACAAGTTGATCAGGAAATCCACTGCAGCCATGGCTTTTAAAGATGCTGGGAAGACACCCATGGAACCAGAGGTGGCAATTCACCAAATTAGAATATTCTAACAAACCACAGTGTAAAATCTTTGGAGAAGGTATGTGCTGGCTTACTTGATCAGAAGAGCAAAAGTAAAGAATTGCAAAGTGAAAGGACCAGTTCAGATGCCTACCAAAACTTTGAGAATCACTGTAAGAAAAACTCTTTGTGACGAAGGTTCTAAGACTTGGGATCATTTTCAGATGAGGATCCATAGGGGCGCCTGGGTGGCGCAGTCGGTTAAGCGTCCGACTTCAGCCAGGTCACGATCTCGCGCTCCGTGAGTTCGAGCCCCGCGTCAGGCTCTGGGCTGATGGCTCAGAGCCTGGAGCCTGTTTCCGATTCTGTGTCTCCCTCTCTCTCTGCCCCTCCCCCATTCATGCTCTGTCTCTCTCTGTCCCAAAAATAAATAAACGTTGAAAAAAAAAATTAAAAAAAAAAAAAAACAGATGAGGATCCATAAGCAACTCATTGATTTGCACAGGCCTTCTGATATCATTAAACAAATTAGTTCCATCAGTATTGAGCCAGTTGAGGTTGAAGTCACCTTTGCATATGCTTAAATCAACATTTTTAAGAAATTGTTTATCATTTGTTAGATAGATAGATAGATAGATAGATAGATAGATAGATAGATAGATGATAGGGATAGAGATATCCTGGGTACTAGCAATAACTGATTAAAAATATAATTTTTCAAAATTTCTTCTTATAATAGCAACAAAACTTGAAAATATCTAGAGATAAACCTAACAAAAAATGTGTTAAGACCAATATGAAGAAAACTATAAAAATTTGGCACTGGAATAAGGATAGGCATAAGTAAATGTAATAGAATTAAAAGTCCAGGGGCGCCTGGGTGGCTCAGTCGGTTGAGTGTCCAACTTTGATTCAGGTCATGATCTCAGAGTTTGTGGGTTCAAGCCCCACATCGGGCTCTGTCCTGACAGCTCAGAGCCTGGAGTCTGCTTTGGATTCTGTGTCTCCCTCTCTCTCTGCCCCTCCCCCACTCATGCTCTGTCTCTCTCTCAAAAATAAACATTAAAAAAATTTTTTTAAAAAGAATTACAAGTCCAGAACTAAACCCATATGTCCATGACCAACTAATTTTCGACAGAGGTGCCAAGGTCATTCAATACGGAAAATTTTTTCTCTTCAGCAAATGATGCCTATAACAACTAGCCATCCACATGGGGAAAAAATTAAGTTGGACCTCTACCTCACATCCTATACAAAAATTAACTAGCTATCCCTAACATACATATAGAGAACATTTTACCCAACAAAGTAGAATTCACATTCTCCTCAAATGCACATGGGATATCCTTCAGATAGACCATATGTTAGGCCATAAAGCAAATCTCAATAAACTTAAAAACACAGATATCACATAAAGCATCTTCTTTGACCAAAGCAGGATGAAGTTAGAAATCAATAACAAAAGAAAACCTGGAAAAATCACAAATCTGTGGTAATTAAAACATACACTCTTAAACACAAATGAGCCAAAGAAGAAATCAGAAGGGAAATAGAGAATTCTTAGAGATGAATGAAAATGAAAACACAACATACCAAAACTTATAGGATGCAGTGAATGCAGTGCTCAAAGGGAAATTTATAGGTGTAAGTGACTACATTAAAAAAAAAAAATCAAAATCAATAACCTAACTTTATATCTTATGGGACTAAAAAAAGAAGAGCAAAATAAACTCAGAACTGAAGCAGAAGGAAAGAAATAATAAAGAT